CCATTATTGTTAATAATTAATTAAATATATATTGACAAATTTAACTAATTTTAGAAGATTTTGAATTATTAAAATTTGTCAAAAATCTAAGTTCGGTAAAATTTCTAATTAAATTCATTCAACATTGAAATTTTTTAAAATTTAAAATTAAAACCGTTTGAAGTTAATTTATTTATGAAAATTGTAAACGCAACTCTTTTAAAATGAATTAATTTTGATATATTCCATGAACTTTGAATTTTTATTGCAATCAGTAATTTTTGAAAATATTTATAACAAAATATTTCGTTCCTTTTGAAAGTTCAGAACTTTAGAAACATTTTTCTACACAGTAAAAAAGTATTCTCTCCTTTGAAATCTTTCTAAAATTTCTAGATTTCTAAAAAAATTAGAATTTACGTATAGAAATTATTTTTGCATGTCTGCAATTTTTCACAGCGTTTTTTTTTCTAAAATGTTTTTTTTCGTTTTCTCATTTTCTGAGTACTTTATACCGCACTTTTTTTCTCTCTCTCGCCGCTAATACTCCTTCTTGAATGGCTAAAGCGTTTTCTTGAAATCTGCAAAGTCATTCTCCTGCTTTCACATAAATGCATTCTATGTCCACTTCTTGCAATAGGAAATATCCTGGTCTACATTTATCGACCTGCCAACGTCCAACTTATGTAATCCATTCTTAACTCTTCACTTCATTTTAACATTAGATTTTAGTGCTGTATCAAAATAATGCTCTAACCCTTTTTTGCCGCACAATACATTAACACACAGTTATCAGCAAAAGAGAAAAAAAATCTCTAAGAGAAAAATAAAAGTTCGATTTGGAAAAAGATATTTTCCAAGAAGAAAACTTTTTTCAAAATCAAAAAACATTTTTCAATCAAAACAGATTTTTGAATCGAAAAATATTTTTGAACCAAAACAGATTTTTTAATCAGAAAAACATTTTTCAACCAAAACAGAGTTTTGAACTAAACCAGATTTTTGAATCAGAAAAACATTTTTGAACCAAACAAGATTTTTGAACCAAAACAGATTTTTGAATAAAAAAATATTTTTGAACCAAAACAGATTTTTGAACCAGAAAAACATTTTTGAACCAAAACAGAGTTTTGAACCAAACCAGATTTTTGAATCAGAAAAACATTTTTGAACCAAAAAGACAGTATTGAACCAAAACAGATTTACAAACCAAAAAAACGATATCGAACCAAAAAAAATTTCGTACAGAGAAATAAATTTCGAAAAGAAAGAAATTAAAGAAAAAAAGAGAAAATGAAGAAGAAAAATGTAATAAGACATTTTTTTAAGAGAACAAAAGAGGAGAAAATTTAAAAAATGACATTCTTTTTTTAAAAGACGAAAAGAAAATGTACTGTTGAGATAAATAATTTTGTAGAATGTTTTTCAAAAAGGATTTTCTAACAATTTTTCCACGAATATTATTCGAGAATAAAAACCGAATAGAAACTTATATAGTGTTGAGAAAATTTTCAATAAACGTCGTTAGCCTTCCTATTTTCTTTCGTTTTAAATCCTATAGACATAAGAATAGATGACTGAGCACATTCCAAGCCATATATGAACTTTAAAGAGGTATTTCTTTTCACATAGAAAAATCATTTTCAAACCAACCATTATTTAAATTTATCTTTCATATTTTTATTATAATTTTCAAATATTTTCCAATTTCTCTATTCTTCTCTCTCTTTTTTTTCTATATTTAAGTATTATATATAAAAGAATTTTATATCATGAATTTGAAATCGATAAATAATGATAAATACCATAAAAAATATATAAAATAATTTATTATTATTATTATTATTATTATTATTATTATTATTATTATTATTATTATTATTATTATTATTATTATTATTATTATTATTATTATTATTATTATTATCATTATCATTCTTATTTGTATTTTCATTATTATCATTATTACCATTATTACTAGTATTTTTATTATTATTATTATTATTATTTATTTTAATAAAAAAATAATCAAATAAATTGCTTTTGAACCAATAATTTCAGTATTTGAAGCAAATATTATTCAATTTACTTAAATAAAAATTATTTGTTTCAAATACTGAAAATATTGGTTCAAATGAAATTTATTTGATTTAAAATAAAATTGTTTTGATTCAAGTAAATATTTATTTTATAACAGAGATGTAATCAGTTATTTGAATCAAATAAATTTTTATTTAAATCAAGTAAATTTTATATTTGAACCATTGGGGTAATTATTAGTAAGAACAAAATTTTTATTTAATTTAAGATCCTGAGATTTAATTTAAAATCCTGTTTGGAAAAATTGTTTTTCCACTTTTTGAAAGATCTCTTCAGAGGTTTGTTGAGAAAAATTTTTTCATCTTATCCTTTGAGTGGAAATTTAATTCTCCACTCTATCTTTCTTCCTGTAAAGATTTTTTTTACCAAAGTCGACGAGATTTTAAGTATCAAATTGTTTAAAAGGTGTAGAGGATTTATAACAGTATTTTTCAAAAAATGTTCTGTAATTTTCTGAATTTATCTTTTTAAACACGCAAAAAAATTTATATTTTTTATAAAATTATTGAATTTAAAAAAAGAAAATTCATGAAAAATTTACGAAATTCTCAGTAATTTTAAGAAATTTACGAAACGTATTTATATTTTCTGTAAAATTGAATTTAAAAAACAAAAATTAATAAACATTTTTAAATTCACGAAAAATTTTTGAAATTCTCAGTAATTTTTATGAATTTACTTTTCTATGCACTCAAGCAGATTTATATTTTGTATAGAACTTTTAATTTTAAAATAAAATTGACTATAAATTCGACATTAATAATTCAAAGAAATATTTTGTATAAAACTGAATTTAAAGAAAATTGACTGAATTCAAAAATAATAATTTAAAGAAATTTTTTTTTTATAAAACTAAATTTAAAAAAAATTGACTGAACTCAAAAGTAATAATTCAAAAAAGTATTTTGTATAAAATCGAATTTAGAAAAATGGACTAAATTCAAAAATAGAACTTCATTTATAAATGAATATTTAATCATTATTTTTTTCATAGAAATTAAGATATTAAAAAATTTGAAATTCAATAACATACAATAATTAAAACTTGCTATTTTGTTACTGTAACTTATTCATAAATTATTTTCATTATTACGATTATTCATTTCTAGAATTTTCAACTAAAATTCGCCTTTAAATAAATTTTTTAAAAATAATTTTTGAAAAAGTTCTTTGAGAATTTTCAAATTCTTTTGTTTACAATTTAATTTTACGAAATTTCGATTATTCTGAAATTCTTCGCAATTAAATATATTAGAAATTAAAAACTTCAAATAATTAAAAAAAATTCCATTAAATTTATTGAAAAAAAAATTAATTCTGCAAAATTCTTAATTAGAAGTATGAAAAGTTCAAATGTTCAAAGATTTTAATTTGAAATTCATTTTTAAACCAAAATTTATTAGAAAATTCTACGAGAATTCAATTATTTAACTATAAAAATAAATATTTTATTAAACAATTGAATGTTTCTTAAAATTGAATTTTCATAAAGAATTTTATCAACAAATTTTCAAATAATTGAATTCTCTTGACAAATTCTCATCAAATTTTTTCAGAATAATTGCATTTTTCAAGAAATTTGATGAAAATTGTATTAAAAATAATTGAAATTCTGCCAAGAATTTTATTAAAAGTTTTAAAAATAATTGAATTTCGGAGAAAAATTTTATTATTTATAAAGATAATTGAAATTAATTGAAAATATAATAATAATAATTGAAATAATTGAAATTGATAATTGATAATTGAAATTTTGACGAGAATTTTTGTAAATTTTTAAACATAATTGAATTTCTTAGAAGAATTTTATTAAAATTATTTTGAAAAAATAGAATTGTTACGCAAAGAATAGCATTAAAATTTTTGAAAATAATTTTATTCTTTAAGGAAATTTAATAAAAAATTTATTGAAAATAATACTTAAATTCTAATAAAGAAATTGTAGCAAAGGTTATTAAAATAATTACATTTCTTTGTTAAATTTTCATAAAAAATTTTTAAGAATAATAACTTTTTTCAAAGAATTTCATTAAAATTGTATTAAAAATAATTGAAATTCAGCATTGAATTTTATTATTTATAAAAATAATTGAATCCCTGTAAAAAATGTTATTATTCATGAAAATAATGGAATAATATATGAAAATAATTTGTAAAATAATTGAATTCCTGTAAAATTTTTATTATTTATGAAAATAAATAAATGTTTACGGAGAATTTTATTAAACATTTTTTTAACTAATTTAATTTTTTTAGGAATTTTTATTAAAGTAGTAGATATTAAAAATCATTGAATTGAGGAAAGTTTTTGAAAATAATTAAAATTTTGCCAAGAATTTTATTAAAATTTTTAAAAATAATTGAATTTCTGAGAGGAATTTTACTGCTTTTGAAAATAATTTAATTTCTGCAATCATTTGTAATTGCTTCAAAATTCAATTTGTTGTTGTGTTTTTAACTAAAATTCTTCTATAAATCCATTATTTTTAATAAAACTAGTTAAATATATATTAAAAAATTTAACTAATTTCAGAAGAATTTTAGTTTAAACAATTTTTTTTAAAAACAATTTTTTTTTCCTTGACTTGGAGTGATCGTTAAATTTCACTATTTATTAATTCTTTTTAAATTTAAGTTTTTTTATATTTCTAATTAAATTCATTTAAAATTAAAATTTTACAAAATTTGAAATCAAAATCTTTTAAACTCTTATTATTTATTAAATTCTCTTATCAAATATTATTGATTATTAAATTCTATTAAATTCTCATTACTATCTATCAATAAATTCCATTAAATTATAAAATCAACGAAAATTACAAAAAAGTGAGATAAATGTAAAAATATTTTATTACCTCAATTAGAATAAAAAATATGTGCCTAATTAAAAATTCTTTTTCTCCTTTTCTTTTTTTTTGCAGAATGAAACTAAAAGTGATGTAGATTATCTAAACTAGACTTTATCGACACGAAGAAATTAAGAGCTTCCTCTTAATAGGACAAGTTAAGCTGTTTGTCCTTCCTACTTTTGATCAGTCGAACCTCTTGTTTAATCCCTTTGGGGAAACTAGAGAAGCTTAACCTCAACGTCAAGAATTCTCAAGAGTATTAGAGCGTAAGAACAGTTAGAACATTTTTTTTTCTTCTTTTCCTTTTATTCCTTTTTAAGTATATGATTTTCTTTAGTCCCTCAACAGAGTTTCTCTTCTAACTTCTTTAAAACAGTTTTCCTTGAGAACTGTTCACACGTGAAAAATGCGCGAAAGCTCCGCGACTTGACACATTTTTTTTTTGTTTCTTTACTTTTCTCTTTATTATTTAAACCGAAATTCTTTTTTTTATTCCTTTCAAATTTCTACTAAATTTAATATTTTTATCTTGAATTTTAATTTTAATTGCTTTTAAATTTTGAAACTAATTATCTCCATTTTAATTATTTTTAATTTGAAATTGAAAATTATTTTTTGAGCTAAAATTAAAATTACTAAAAAAAAATACTGAAATAAAAAGAAGTTGAAATTATTTTTATTTTATCTTTTTAAATTAAAATTGAAATTACTCAAAAAACTGAAGTTAAAAAATTTGGAAATTTGTATTCTTCAAATTTGAAATTAAATTTCAAATTCAATTCCTAAGCTACTCCTTTTATTTCTAATTCACTGTGCTACTTGTGGGAGAAAAGTCTTCAGCGCCATCTGTATAGCTACAAAATTATTGCCGCGAATTTCAAATTTATTTTTGTTACTATTATTCTTTATGTTTGTATAACAATAAATTATTATATTAATATTATTATTATAATTATTAATTACTTTTTTCTCTTAATACTATTATTGGTTATTAGTTATTATTATTGATTATCAATTATTAATTTTTGTCTTGCCTTTTTTCGAGTAAATCCGTTGACAAATTTAAATAAACAAATAAATATTATTAGTAATCAGTAAAAAAATGTACCTTCAATCCAATTTGAAAAATTAGTTTCAGAAAAAAGAGTACACAAAAAAAAGCATATGAACTATTATTTCCCACAAATGTTAATTATGACGCAAAGTTTTTTTTATTAATAAAAAAAAATCCAGCACTCAACATATGGGAGTGTAGAAAAAATGGTAATTAATTACGAACTGAAAATACGAAAATAGAAACATGAATGCATTAAAATGAGTGCAAACATGAATTAGCTTTTGTGGAACGAAAAAGAGAAATTCTCATAATCAGAGATAGAGAGAGAAAAAATTTTTCAATTTAAACGATAATAATTTTTAAATCGTTAATGTTTATTTTAGCAACAGCAGATACAGTGACACAAATATATAGTTGTAGTTATAGGATAAACATATGCTCCCACACTAACAACAAGACAAACGCGAGTACACTCATCACCAGCCAAATTATGAGCCTCAAGTGCACGTGCATCTGACTAATTTCCATAAATCCCTTTTGCGGTAACAAAAGATCCAGCAAATCTAAATGTTTATTCATGAACTGATTACTCACATTCCGAAAGACAAGAGCCATTCAATGTATACACGGGATGATACAGAATTTGACACTTTACAATAATTTTCGCATTAATATACTCTCAACTTTCATAAACATGTATATATCAATATATTAATATTTCAAAGGAAAAAAAAAAAATTTACGGCCACTTGGCACAGACATTATCATAAATCAATGTTCCCACAAATATTTAATTTTATTTTTCCCCAACTTTTCCCTGATTTCCAGACAAAATTTTCACTTTTTCCCTGACCATAAAGAATATTCTGATTCACTCTAAAAATTATTAGATACTCAAAAAAACATTCTATTACATTTACTTACGAATTTCTTAAATTGTAAAATTATTCGCAAATTTTTAGATAAGTATTTAATTATTATTTTTCCATATAGGAATTAAAATTCTTCAAAACATTCAAATTCAAACATTTTTAAAATTAAACAATTTATAAGAATATTATTGATGAAGATATCAATTACTTCGAGTCGAAGACTCGGAGTAATTGATATCTTCATGTTTTATAAAAATTTTAATTTCCATAAAATTTTTCAAAAAAAAATTTAATTATTTACAAAAATTATAATAAAATTCTAAGCAAGAATTCAACTATTTTCATAAATAATAAAATTCTTCACATTGTTTCAATTATTTTTAATACAATTGTAAATAAATTTCTCGAAAAATAAAATTATCTTCAACAATTTTTTCCAAGAATTAAATTAGGTACATTTCACAAATAATTTTAATACAAGTTTTCAAAAGAATATAATTATTTAAATGAAATGTAAGAAAATTCGTTGCATAAATTCAATTATTTTTACAAGTAATACAATTTTTCACATGAATTCAATTATTTAAAAAAAAAATTGATAAAATTCGTTGTAAGAATTCCATTATTTTTATAAATTATAAAATTTTTCTGAGGATTTCAATTATTTATAATACAATTTAAAGTAAATTCCTAGAAAAATAGAATTATTTTCTTAAATTTTTTGTAAGAATTTAATTACATTTCACGAATATAATAAAAATTCTTCGTTGAAATTCAAATATTTTCACAATCTATTTTATTTAATAAAAGTTCTCAAAAGAATTCAATTATTTAAAAAAATTTATTAAAATTATTACTATGCAGAAATTCAATTATTTTCATAAATAATAAGATTCTTTACATTATTTCAATTATTTAAAAAAAAAAAAATTTTGAAAAAATTCATTGCAAGAATTCAATTACTTTCATAAATTAATAAAATTCTTCACAGGATTTCAATTATTTTTAATACAATTTTAAGTAAATTCTTCGAAAGAATTCAATTATGTATTTTTAAAAATTCATGCTACAATGCTCTTAATATTCAATTATTAGATATCTGAAATTTTAACTAATATTCATTTTTAAATTAATTTTTATTGGAAAATTCTACAAGAATTCAATTATTTAAATACAAAAATAAATAATTTATTGAATAAATAAATGTTTTTCGAAACTAAATTATCATAACGAATTTTATCAACAAACTTGAATTTTTTCGAGAAATTTTAATAAAATTTTCAAGAATAATTAAATTTTTCGAGCAATTCAATTAAAGTTTTATTAAAAATAATTGAAATTCTATAATGAATTTTATTATTCATGAAAATAATTGAATTTTTGTAAAAAATGTTATTATTTATGAAAATAATTGAATTATTGCAAAAGTTTGCTTAAAATTTTATCAAAAATTTTTTTTTTTTAAATAATTGAATTCTTTTGAAAAATTTTATTAAAACTGTAGATATTAAAAATCATTGAATTGAGAAAAATTTTTTGAAAATAATTGAAATTTTGCAAAGAATTTTATTAAAATTTTTGAAAATAATTGAAATTTGGAGAAGATTTTAATTATTTTTAAAGATAATTGAATTTTGACGAGAATTGTTTTTAATTTTTGAACATAATTGAATTTTTGCGAACAATTTTATTACTTTTGAAAATAATTGAATTTCTTCAATTATTTGTAACTTCTCTAAAATTCAATTTTTTCCATTTACTTAAATAAAAATCCCTGACTTTTCCCTGAATTCCCTGATTTCCCTGACCTGTGGCAACCCTGATAATTGATAAATTTGTTAATTAAATAAATGAAGCGAATAAGTAAACTAAATTTAATCAAATAATTGTAAAATTAAGTTAAATTATTAATTAATTAATTAAAAATTAATTATTAAATTAATTAATTATAAGTAGGTATATAATTTATTTATACTATTTAAATTTATTTATATTTATATTTTTGTAATATTTATTTTGTCTTTTTTTATTTTTACTTTTTTTTGTTTTTATTTACTTTTTATTTTTTTATTTTATAATTTTATAACTTGAATAATTTTCTCTCTATAATTATTTCAATAACTGAGACGACTAAAAATTTTCCCTAATACAGTGAAATTTGTACAGCTGTTCTAGGTAAAATTTTCCCCCGATCAATTAATTTTTTAAGTTTTAATATAAAAAAATAATTTTCCTCAAGATTTGAAAGTTCAAATGGACGAAATTTTTCGTCCGCTTAAATATTTTTCTAAAAATTACTGATAAACAAAGAAAAATAATTAAAATTAAAAATTTACTCAGTTGAGACTTAATTTATTGAAATAAAAAAAATTTTGCGCAGAAAAATACAAATTAAAAGCAGTGTGAAAATTTAAAGTTGAGAATTTACTTTTTAAAAAGAAACCAAATTTTTTGCAAAATAATTTTTCAAATTAGCAAAAAAATGTTAATTATTCAATTATTATTGAATTTATTTTTTTCCCCTAATTAGTTGCGGTTAATATAGCGAAGATTGTAAGCACCCTTTTTTTTGCCGAGAAAATTTAACGGGTAGAAATTTCAAATATATGAATCGTTTAGCAAAGATCACAAGACGTTGCGAAGTGGAAATTCTAATTCCTGATTTCTGCGGTTTTCGTAATATGCGCACTAATTAGTATACTAAAATTAATTTATTGCCAATCAAGTATAATTACTGATAATAATTAAAATCAAATTTAAAGAAAAAGCAAAATAAAATTCAAAATAATTATAAACATTTTAAAAAATTAACAAAAATGAAAAAAGCAAAGAAACTTTTTTTTGAAATTTCAATTTGAAATTAAATTCTTTATAAAAATTGTAAACGCAACTTCAATTATTTTTGGGATTTTTAACTGAAATTCTATACTCTAAATAATAATTTAAAATAAAATTACAATAATTTTAACAATTTTCAAGAATTTAATTATTTACACAATAATAGAAAGTTCACCTAAAATAATTGTGAAAGACATTTGTTTACAATTCAATTTTACGAAATTTCAATTATTCAAAAATTTTTCAACTAAAAATGTATTCAGAAATTAAACTGATTTCAAAAGGATTTGAATACAAATGTATCAGAAACTAAATTTTTTCATAATTTATAATTAAAATTACTTCAAATTTATATATTCTAAATTTTTAAATTGAAACCTTTTGAAATTCAATTATTTATACGAAAATTATAAACACAACTCTCATAATATTCGATTATTTTCGGAATTTTCAATTAAACTTATTCTCTAAATAATTCATAAGTAATAATTTTATGATCGTTCAAGAATTAAATTATTTACAAAAAATTAAATTTCATATTCTGTAAAGTTTAATTATTGTCAGAATAAGAAAAATTTAAGGATTTGTATTAAATTTTTTTTAATTAAAAATTATTTAAATTTATTATTATTTATTATTTCCTGGTTCATAAGGGAATAAGAAAAAAATCCAAGAAGAAATGTAGTTAATTTTTTTAAAGATTGATATTCACAAAAATGTGGATTTTTTTCAGATTTTTCTTCTTATGAATTCTAAAAATTTAGAAGTTTTCTACTATTTACGA